GTGGTGGGGTTGGTTTTTTAAAAAAATGGAGTCTGTCGTGGAGTTGGGGAAGAAGAAGGACCGCCCTATATTTTATTATAGGGAAACGCATTATAATACTGCGTTTAAGGAAAACGCAGTATCTGCGTTTTCCTTAAACGCAGTATCTGCGTTTTCCTTAAACGCAGTATCTGCGTTTTCCTTAAACGCAGTATTATAATGCGTTTTCCTATAAAACAAATTAATTTTTTAATAAGAATTAGTATAATACTGCGTTTAACTTTAATGGCTAACTTTCCATTAAGTAAAATGCAGTATTATACTGCGTTTTATGTAGAAATGTAACTTTTTTTAACTGTATAAACATATTTTATGTCAAAAAATATGTCATTTCAGTTTCGGACTCCTTTCTTTCATCCTCACCACTAGGGAGAAATTAAAAAAATAGCCAGATTTACAACTGGACGTTCAAAAATAGCCCAGTTTCAAAAGTAATCGAAATTTAGCCACTTTTCATGTAAAGATAAATCTGAGCGAAAATACTGTTCAAAACCCGAAAATACGTCAGTATATTATACTGGAGTTCCAGCATAAGTATGCTTGAACTCCAGCATATTATACTGGAGTTCCAGGATAAGTATGTTGGAATTCCAGCATAATATGATGGAGTTCCAGCATAAGTACACTAGAACTCCAGCATAATATACTGGAGTTCCAGCAAGTATAATTGTCCAGTATAATATACTAGAGTTTGGAGCACCGGTACTCCATTCTCCAGTATATTATACTGGAGTCAGCAAAGTATACCGGTCCAGCATAATATGTTGGAGTTCATACACAGGTGCACTGAACTCCAGTATATTATGCTGGACCGGTCTCTGTTGGAGCAAAATAGGGGCTATTTTTCATTGATTTTGTAAACGCTGGCTATTTTTGAATGACCAGTCCGAAAACTGACTATACCGTGCTATTTTTACTCACCACTATTCTTGTTCCAGACCAGAAACATTATGAGACATTTCCCCATTTTTCAGGGTTGTTTGACCATAAAAAAAGATTTTATTTTCCAATGTTTGGTCATGAAATTTTCAATTTCACTCGAAGATGAATTTTGAAATTTTTTAAAAATTTGAAAAACTCCAAACAACTATTTTTCAAAAAAAAAATCACTTCAGATGACTCACAAAAATTCAAAAAATAGTCCAAAATTATATTCATGTCCAAACACAACTCTACTTCTCAAATATCATTTTCACTTGAACTTCTTTTTTTCGAAATTTTACAATTCTTATGTCCAAACACCCACTTCTAACTTGACAAGGAAAAAAGTTACACCAAACAAGAAAGAAGAATTAATCCGAATAGTCGCTCTCCCAACCTCTTAAACCAAAAATAGTTGGTGAAGGTATAATATACACATAATTTATGTATTATATGTTAATAATTATGTAAAATCAATATATAAACTATGTATATGGTTAGAAAAAAAATAATAAATATAGCCGGCTATTTGTGTAAAGATCCTAGCAAGAAAAGTTTAATGAGGACAGTCATGTCTTGGATAATGCTATTTAGTAGTAAGTGGATCATTTTTATTAAGGCACTAGGATTTTAAATATGGCTAGAGTATACACCCATCTACCGCTTTAAAATAGATTATTTCTTGAGTTTGATTAAGTCGTTTTTGCAAAAATAATAGGTAGAGAGATAGATAACATGAAATTTCCTCACTCTCTTAAAGAATGGATGGATTAAAAGAGAAGGCCTTAATTTGCCCTATTAACTTCTTCCTCTTCCAAAGAATAAAAAATCAAAAAAATGATTTTCTCTTATAGTAACATGGTAGGGGCTACATTTATCAAAAAGACTCTAATAAAAGGAAGACTGTTAATCAAGAATCGACGTCTTATGTCGGTCTGTATGTAAAGTGAAATAAATTACAATGACAACACTAATTATCAGTTATGTAAAAATATATAATTTATGTTAAACAATTAATAATTATTACCCTTTTTGATTGTTTAAAACTAATTTTACTGTGAAGATATTCTGCTATTAAATCTTGATCTACCAAAATTGCTATTATTCACTTCGTAAGTTCCTTTTCTTTAAAATAAAATTATAGGATGTGTTAGTCAAAATTTTTTGTAAGACCATCAAAATCAACTAAGATCATTGCAGTGATATGACCTTGAAGCAACAGACTGTAATGATAGAAAAAGATTCTCAATAATTGGCAAATCAACCTGGGACAATATTTGCAGCATTTTCTGCTATGCTGTTAAGTGGTAGTTACATTAGTTGGTGTAGGGTCACCTGTTTATAGGAACGTAAATGGGGCGGGGCAAGGCAAGCCTTGGCCGTCTTGCCCTGCCCGTCTAGCATTTTTTCCAAAATGTTGCACTGCCTCGCCCTTCAAGCCCGGCCTGCCCCGTCTAGCATGTTTCCAAAATGTTGCCCTGCCTTGCACTTCCCCGCCCTTCAAGCCCTGTCTCGTCTTAACATTTTTCAAAATTTTTGCCTTGCCTTGCACTGCCCCGCCCTGCCCCATCTAGCGTGTTGCCAAAATGTTGCCCGGCCTTGCATTTCCCCGCCCTTTAAACCCTGCCCCGTCTAGTGTGTTTCCAAAATTTTACCCTGCCTCGCACTGCCCGCATTTCAAACCCTGCCCCGTCTAGCGAATTTTGCCCGGCCTTGCACTGCCCTACCCCGTTTAGTTTTATTTCATTTTTCCACTTTATTTTTGGCAAGTACATTAGTTGGTGGAGGTCACTTATTTATAATTGAGAAACCAACTTACAACAAAGAATCTTACCCTACCACCACCACTATTCCACCACTATATCCATATCCAAGATCAAGATATTATCAAAGATTCAGAATCAATCTTCACTATAAGAAAAAAAAACAACAATCAACTTTTTGACAATGACCTATCAACATTGAAATAAGAATAGAATAACATTAACTTACACAATTTTCAAATAAAAAAATCAAGATAAGCTGAACCATTATTTTTTTAGCAGAGATACTTATGAAAAGAAAAAAGAAACATAAAAGGTGCATTTTGTGGCTTATAGACTACTAATTATCATTTCAGCTCCAGTGCCCTGCCTTTAGATAGGGGTAAGGTCTGCGTACACACTACCCTTCGCAGACCCCGCTTGTGGAACTATAGTGAGATTTTTGTTGTTGTTGATTTCTTCAGTGCCCTGACCTCCAGTATCTAGCATTCTCAAAACCATTCTTGCAATACTGATAATCTTCAAAAGTTTGATCAATTTCAGCTTGTGAATTCATCACAAAAGGACCATGTTGAACTACAGGTTCATTAATAGGTTGTCCACCTAATAAAACAAATCTTAATGGCTTTGAAGATTTATTCCACACACTAAGTCCTTCTCCAGGGCCTAAAACCAAACAATGGTGAGCTGATACAGGACCTGAATTTGGAATTCCGAATATGCCTTCTCCTTCAACTATGTACACGAACGCGTTCCAAGACTCAGGAGTGGCTTGATGATAATAAGATGTTGGTTGTAGGGTGAAATCGAGGTACATTGTAGGCGTTCGCGTATAAACTGGAGATTGAACACCCATTGCTTCACCTGCTATGATTTTTACTTCAACTCCTTCATTTTCTGCTCTTGGTATGTCTTCATTCAGCAGTTCTTGATACCTTGGCTCAATCCTGCAGTTGTATTTGAATTTAGTGATACTGAGAGATCATTTTCCTGAACTAGAATAATTTAGATCTTTCATTACTAATATTTCTCGAGTACAGTAATTTATAAAAGCGCTTGAGATTGATGCGTAATTGTTGTTGTACAGTAATTCAAAAGGCAAAAGCTCCAAGATCAAACGTGTGAATGCTACTAAGTTTTCATTTCTTGTGCTACAAATTGACTTGGAAATATTGGTTCACAAAATCAAGATGCCTTCTTTAAAGATTAATTGGACATGTTTAGAGAAGATATACATGAATTTGACAAGAAGTGTAGATGTCACATTTGGTGTGTGGCAGTCCGATACACTAAGCTCCCGCTATGCGCGAGAAGGGCTGAACCACAAGGGTCCATTGTACGCAGCCTTACCTTGCATTTCTACAAGAGGCTGTTTCCACGACTTTTGGTATGGTTTTGGATAATCTTGAGAACTTAGTCAAAGTGAATGATTAAGCTTAACAAAGAACTCCAAAAAACAAATGTGTTCTTTATATTGCATACTACTAACACCTTCCCCCACCCCCCC